TATCTGACAGTGATTTTAAAGCAACCATCAGAAAAATGCTTCACCATTCTATTATACATTCTCTGGAACCAATGTAATGACTAGAAAAATCTTATCAAAGAAAAAGAAGTTATAAAAATAAAGTCAATGAAAATTATAAAACTGAAAAATATAATGACAATTTTTTTAATAAAAGTAAGCAACTCACTGGATGAGCTCAATAAAGGAGTGGAGGTAACAGAGGATAAACTTGAGGACAGATGAATAGAACTGCCCAGGTTGGAGTGCAATCGCACGCATGATCTCAACTCACTGCAACCTCCACCTCCCAGGTTCAAGCAATTCTCCTGCTTCTGCCTCCCAAGTAGCTGGGATTACAGGCACCCACTATCACACCCAGGCAATATTTGTATTTTTAGTAAAGATGGAAATTCACCATGTTGAACAGACTGGTCTCGAACTCCTGACCTCAAGTGAACCACCTGCCTCTGCCTCCCAAAGTGCTGGGATTGCAAGCATGAGCCACTGCACCCGGTAGAGAACTCCTCTTTATAAAACCATCAGATCTCATGAGACTTATTCACTACCATGAGAATAGCATGGGAAAGACTTGATCCCGTGATTCGATCACGTCTCATCTGGTTCCTCCCACAACACGTGGGAATTCGAGATGTGATCTGAGTGCAAACACAGCCAAACCATATCCTGGGGTTCCAAATGAGCTCACTTTCCTCTTCTTTTTTCAGAGTCCTCTTTTGCTTGTATCCTGAATTATGTCCAGGGTTTACAGTTGTACTTCATTAGGAGGAGCCGGAAAAGAGACAAGAATATGCTACTTGTCCCACAGGAAAACGTATGACCTTTTTTTTTAATGCTCTGTTTATTTCCTGTAAACTTGTGAGGAAGGGAAGTTCTGGGAACTTCCTTGGTTATCCCAGGAGGGAAACTTAAAATTTGTTTTGTGGGTTTACTTGAATTCATATAAAAAAAAAAAGTATAGATGTTCCAGTAGAAACATTTCTTCACTCCTTCATGAAAGCTAAGCAATAAAGTAACCTTACACTTCTCTGTTCCCATAACTTAAACTTGTATGACCAACACTATCATTTTTTAGAAAAAAAACTGTCTATGGTGATAGAAAGCAGATTAATACTTCCCTTTTCAATATCGATGATTAGAAATAGGGGGTTGATCACAAAGGGACATGGGAAATATGTTAGCTGAAGGATATGTACTATATCTTGATCGGGGTAGTAGTTACATACTTGTATACAACTGATAAAACTTTGGAAAGTACACAGTTAAATTGTGAGACCTCTATTGTACATAATTTATATCTTAAGAAGGCTGGGAAAAGTGAAGTAGAGAAAAACTGAAAATCTTATCTTTATAATATTCTGTTTTGTCTTAACTGATAAAAGTTTTTCCAAGAAGGTAATCTTTTATTTTTCTTTTAGACAACATTTGTTCTTAATATAGTGAATGAGGAAGGGGTCACTGTAAACAGCTTAATGATTCACTCTTATATTAGTCTGCTCAAGCCATCATACCGAAAGACCATAGACTGGAGGCTTAAACAACGGAAATTTATTTTCTCAAAGTTCTGGAGACTGGAAGTCTGATATCAAGGTTCCAGCAGGGTTTGCCTCTCGGTGAAGCTCCTCCTCTATGTGTTCTCACATGCAGAGAGAGTGAGCTCTGGTGTCTTCCTCTTCATATAAAGACACCAGCCCTACTGAATTAAGGCCCCACCCTTATTACCTCTTTTTGTTATGGGATCTTTGGGGTGTCACTTTGGTGGCCAGAAACCTCTGTGGCCAGTGGTGCCTCTGCTTGAGTTCTTGTCCTATGTCCAGGAAGAATGGGGTATGCAGACAAGTGGAGGGTGAAGAAGATGAAGAGGAGCTTTATTGAGTATTACAACAGGTTAGAGAAGACCCACAGTGGGTAGCCCCTGTCAGTAGGCAGGTCATCTGGAGTGTTGAGCTCTCAGCAGAGAGGAGACCCTGGAGAGGGTGGCTCTTCTCTGCACTGCCAGCAGGTTATCCCTTTGTCTCCAGCTATCAGCAGAGACAGTATCTCCTCTCTGCAGCTGGTCACCTGTAGTCTTTGCATCCTCTTCCCTGCTCTGTCTGAGCCCAGGGCTTTTATGGGCATCAGAGGTGGGAAGTACATATTGAATGGTCCTTGGGCAGTGATGGGAGGACCCAGAAAGAGGCACTGTGAGATCCCCCTCCCTTCTGCAGTACTGGTAGGCCAGCACCCAGGCTTCAGGACTATGCTGGCTTGAAGGTAGGGCTTCACTGGGGACCTGCCCCCATCTGCCCAGGAGCCTGTCTGTTTCCTGTGGCCATTCATGGCATCCAGGCTGCTGTCACCAAGCGGCACCTGCAGGCCAGCCTCCAGCCTCCCTCAGCCCCTACTCAGCTTCCTTTCCTGCACTCCTCCATTCCCAAAGTCAAGAGGGGGCCAAAGCAGTGGAGCGCTAGCATATCAGCACTGATCCAAGCGTGCACACACCCAGCTGGGCTGTGACAACCCCTGGGCTTGGCCGCAGCTCCACTCAGAGATGGGAGCCATTGCGGGCATTGGGGAGCTGCCAGGAGGCAGGAGCAGGCACCTGTAAGCCTGCAAGGATGCAGAGATGCCTGGGTCTTCAGCCGTTTGGGCAGCTGCAGCTATGCAAATGGGATTAGGGGAATGGGGTCAGGCTCCTGCCTGCTCTGTGGAGTGGGAGGCCAGGATCTGCAGCCACAACTTGGGTGGCTGCAGCCCCACCCAGGAAGGCAGAGCTGGGCACCTACTCCCAGCTCCTGAGAGCACATGGGTAGCTGGGGTTGCAGCCTTGGCTTGGGAAGCCTGCTGTTGCACCTGGGGAGCTCCCACCCAGTCAATTTGGAAAGGGCAGAGTTCCTGCTTGTCCAAGGCTTCCCCAGCTCCATGGAGCACCACACCCAGCTGTGCACCCTCACAGCCTGGGACAGTTCTTCATTTCCTCGTTGGGCCTGGGGAAGGGGCAACATTGTCCTGAGTTCCTGCTGTGGCCCCAGCACTCCTGGGAAACCAAAGCTTCCCCCTCGCCCAGTGGCACAACCTGGCCTGGCCCCATCGCAGAGGCCCCCGCTGGGGTATGAACTGTCTGCTTCCTCCTCATGCCCTCCCTGCAGTGACCTGCATCATGGCAACAGTGCACCAGACAGCCTACTGCGTCATCAATTTGACTTTATCTTTTTATTCCAATTTCATCACATTGTGAATTAAGGCTTCAACATATAGATTTGGTGGGTAGGGGTGGGGAAGACACAATTGAGTTCACAGTTTTCCTACACAGAATATTGTGGCAAAATCTCACTTCTGAATGATGGGATATTGGTGTGAGCAAAGCACATGAGTAGACTGTGTTAATTAGGTTCCACATCAACCTGCAGTTGCTAACACCAAATATGATCAGCACAATTTGCTACACATTTTAGAAAAATACATGTCTTTGCACATTATAACCAGCAGAAATTCTTCGCTACTAGTGATATAAAGTCTTTGTCAAATTAAAGAGCTTTTCTTTTTGAAAACTTACAGCAGAGGAGGAAAAAGATAAAGTATTATATATCTTTATTCATGTTTGTTTTATGCAGGACGTGAAAACATTTTGCCTTCAAACAGATATCTAAATGTACTTTGAAAATGATTTTAGTGCTTTTGGGAAGAGCTTGGAAAACACTTTTTTTTAAAAAAAAAATTGAAATAAAATGAACTTTAGTGATTTGAGTGACCTAAATTTGCTTTAGCAATTACAGTGATCACCGTGCCTGGTGACTCTGATAGCTCTGAGGACCATCTCTTACTCTCTTCTTTCTAGTTTGCTGGGGAAACCATTTAGGGAAGGAAAGGGTGTCAAGAAAAGGCCACTGCCTTACAACTTTCTTGCCTCATAATTAACTTAAAAGCAAAAAGACACAGCTGACAAAATTCTGCAAAGCTGTTAATTTAATTGAGCAAACTCAAGAGAAACTTGAGAATTACTTAGACTGTCAATTTTTTTTAGCAAGTAAACAAACCCAAGACCACCAGAAACACTCCTATGGTTAGGCAAATTTGGTGAGCATATGCCATAGAGAATGGTGGGTGTCTCAGAAGGAAAGTGTTAAAATGAGCCTATTATAGGATTTGGATTCAGGTAGGTCATTCAGGAGAGGTCCTAAGAGGTTTGCACTGGATTAGATATTGTTAGAAAGCTGGAGTTACCAGTATTTTTTGTTTTTTTTTTTAACCTATGATAAAAGTTTTTTTTTTTTTTTTAACCTATGATGAGGTTTAAAAAAAAAAAACAAACAGCAGTCACTTATTCAGCAGAGGGCAGGGAGTATACTCCATTCTTAAGTGGCACAATGATCTTGTTTTTGTCTATGCTTCAACAGAATTGTAAGGTGGACTTGATTTGTTTCGCTTTGTTTCACTTTATTTTACTACAGTCTCAGAGTCACCTTGTCTGAGGTTGGTATTCTCTGATAATGTTTATGTCCAACGGGAGAAGATGTCCCAGCTGTGAGTGTCAGGTCAGCTTCTAGATGTCAGGAGATAATTTCTTCTCCACCTCAAACATCATTTGCACAACATTCTGTTGGATAGTATAATGCATTTGACCTGTTTACACCATTACATACATAGTGGAACGCTTCAATTTATATTTTAAAAGTCTAACAACTGGATTTGCTTCTATTTTTTCTATGTCTTCCTTCTATTTAATAAGCAAGTGTCAGAACTTTACAGAGCAATTAGAATAATTATAACAACAGAATTTAATGTTCAAAAAATGAATGGAAATGTGTAGACAACAACTCTATATGTTAGAACACATTTTCATGGATAACTACACATTTGTTGGGGCAATTGAGTTGGACATGTACTTTGGTAGGTGAAGCTGAGTTGCACCAATGGACATATAATTAGTAGAACAATTAAAATGCATTATGTAACTATAAAAGGAGCCAGTAACATTAAGAGTAAGACTCACATACACTCACCTAAAGACAGACAATGAACTGGACTTCGGTGTTTGGCACCACAGTCTGAACTTGTACCATCTGACCCAGAGCCTCTGCGTCAAAGTATACAAAAAAGCACAGTCAGTCAAAAACACATGAATTATCTGAACAATATTCAAGAATGGAATTCAGATTCCTCTCCGATGGCTATGGATCCCAAGCTGGCAAGCTCTTAGAGATGGAGTTCCTAACTTGTGTGTGAATGGTGAGCAAGTTTTTATGGGGATTGGCTGGGGAGGTTTTAGAAGTGACTGAAGGAGAAGAAAAAATTCCAAAGGGAACTTCACCTCACTCTGTACGTGCTCTCAGGAATGTCATAGAACAAGTGCACGGGAGGAGGAAGTGATGATCACTAAAGAGCTTATTAAACAAGGTCATTGTTGGAGAGCATGTGATTTGGGTCCAGAGATGGTGTTTGAGGTAGTGCCCACCAGGACCTCAGTGTGCAATGAGTACCATAGTGTGTCTATGGCACGTCTGTTTTCCACTCCATGAAAGCACTCTTCATTCATATTTCTCATGTAGATTTGTCCCCATACCCTCTCCTTCCATAGAAAAGCCTCCCCTGATGTCTCCAAACCACCCGGAGCTTGCCTTTACCCAAAAATTATTTTTATGGTGTTTTAACTAAGTGTGATTTTAATAAAAATAGTCAAACAAATGTTATCCTACTAGGTAGGCAGGAAATAATGTGTTGAAGTACATACAGGTTACTGTAGTCAAGAAGCCAAATGACATTTGGGAGCACATATCGGTCACCTGCAGCGTGGCCTTCCAAGACAATGCCTGGCCTCTGACTGCGGTCTTCAGTTGGATCAGGAAGCTCCATTTGTGAGACAGAAGAGCCTCTTGAAGCTAAGCCAGCAGCATCCTTATCCTTTTCCAAAGGCAGTAAGAAAAAGCAATAATCTTTAAACTCACCACTGACCCATGGAACCATAGACAGCAGGTACCTCCGTAGGCCTGCATTTTACAGATATGGTGTGTGTGATTTGGGGGTAGGAGAGAGGCTTCAATCTCCCCAGAAAGAATAAAAATAATGCAATTTGTTTTTTTTTTCGTTATATTTAAACATCTGTTTCTTGCTAATGTACAATTTGCCACAAATCTAATTTGTATCAATTCTGAGTTAATCAAAGAAATTATAAAGCAGATATCATTTTCTAATCAACAATGAATGTGAGTGAGAGATCACAGGGTGCTTTTGTACAACATTCTTATAGATACACATGAGCAGAAGATGTGTTAATTAAGCAAGGCAGAAAATAGGCATGAGCATATGTCAGCCTGTGGAATGATTTCATGTGTGTGTGCCTGGACATATGCATGGAGACACAGCTTTCATCACACATGCTTGGATAGCATATTTACTTGTGAATTTCACAGTTTCTTATAAAAATTCATGTACAAAAAAGAAATTATATCTAATTTAAGAATCTTGTTTTACAACTTTGTTTCCAAAATGGTAATGTAAAATTGTCACTGAGATTATTCAGAAAAAATCCAAAATTTACAGAGACATTTGGCATTGAGTAGATGAACAACAAAAAGATTGAAAAAGAATTTAATGTTCTTTGTTGCTGGGTGATATATGGAAGTATCTTTACAACATGCACTTAGGAATATTACATAAAATTATTTCACTTAGTATGGCCTATGTTTACTGATTATGTTTTTAAATTAAAAATGAAGGTTGCTTTTATTTTTTAAAATAAGTTAACATGAAAGATCATAAATAGCACCAAAGAATATAGGAAATACGCAGCTGTAAGGATATGAAACACATCTAAGTCTCATCAGCCAACTAGTGGATAAAGAAATTGTGGTGTATATATACACCATGGATTACTACTCAGTCATAAAAAGGAATAAAATAATGTCTTTTGTACCAACTTAGATGGAGTTGGAGGCCATTATTCTAAGTAACTCAGGAATGGAAAAGCAAATAGCATATATTCTCATGTATGAGTGGGAGCTAAGCTATGAGGCTGCAAAGGCATATGAATAATATAATGGACTTTGGGGATTCAGGGAGGAAGGTTAAGAAGAGGGTGAGGGACAAAAAATTACCCACTGGGTACAGTGTAGACTGCTCAGGTGATGGGTGCACCAAAATCTCAGAAATCACCACTAAAGAACTTATTTATGTGTATTAGCCTGTTTTCACGCTGCTATAAAGACATACCTGAGACTGGGAAATTTATAATGAAAAAGAGGTTTAATGGACTCACACTTCCACGTGGCTGGAGAGGCCTCACAGTCATGGCAGAATGTGAAAGGCACTTCTTACATGGTGGCAACAAGAGAGAATTTGTGCAGGGAAACTCCCCCTTGTAAAACCATCATATCTCATGAGACTTATTCACCATCATGATTATGGCATGGGAAAGACCCACCCCCATGATTCAATTACTTCCCACCAGGTCTCTCCCAGGACACATGGGAATTGTAGGAGATACAGTTCAAAATGAGATTTGGGTGAGGACCCAGCCAAACAATATCAACATGTAAGACAAAACCACCTGTACCCTCAAAACTATTGAAATAAAAATAAAAATTTTAAAAGGAATACAGAAAATATCTATAAGGAAAAAAATAAGGAAAATAATTTTGACATTAACCTAAATTCAAGAATTCTGAAAGTATTTTACACATAGCAATATAGTTCAAAGGTTTAAATTTATATTTAAAAAATAAGATTGAACAGAACGTATATATTGAACTACAGCATCATTTTGTTCTTATAAAATGTCCTCTTCAATCTTCAGCTAGAGAATAATCCATGCCATTGCTTTAGCCTTGATGCCTTCCCCTTTGAGGAAGTAACTGCTTCAGAGAAACAGAAAGATAGATCTGGACCAGGATAAAGAAAAGGCAGAAGCACCTAGAAATAAATTCTTAAAGTACAGTGTTGAATGATTAATTGTGACATGGCATTTATTGGAAAAAGCATTGCAGTCTTTTGGAGCAAATTTGCTGAAATGCCTAGACCTGAGTATTTTATAAATAGAGTGACAATGTAATTTATAATTCAAACTGGAACACTTTTGAGTGGGAAACAGAATTCTATATTTATGCCAGGACAATGAAAAGTGTAAACCAGGACTTACTCCTCTAAGAATTAATCTTCAGACAATCAAGACTTAACCATTTTCCTGATTTGATATATCAATGGTAACACAATTCTATGTAAAACTTTGAAGTTCTGCATAGTGTATAATGAAGCATACCTTATTTGTGCAACATTCATGTGAATTTCATCTTTTAGGTGACAGACCCTCCTAGGTTTGAGGGTACACAAGTTTGGTTCTTTGCCTTCATGATGTTTTGCTGGGGAAAGAAAGACATCTGACAAACAAGAATAACTCACTAATTCATGGCAATTAAAAAAATGTAAATTTAATCTACATATTTTTAAGGAGTTACTAATGACAAGTCTACTCTTGGTCTTTGTTTTTATTTTATAGACCTTCTTTGTCTTTGTGTTAAAGTCTGAGGAGCTCTTACACAAATATATCTTATTCCCAGTCTCCATGTGTCTTTATTTCATTTGTTCTGTGACTGCCACTTCCATTTATGAATTATCTGCATTAGTAAATGTAATCAGACTGAGGAGCACCTAGGGCAGGATGCTTCACATTTCCAGGAAACTTTTATGTAGACCCTGCCAAACAGGCTCTCTCTGTCCTGGGATAGAGTCCAGCAAAGTCACCCCAGCCTGGCTGTTATTTGGCTGGTGAGAGTCAGTGCCTGGTCCCAGGGAGAGGTGCTGAGCTCCAGAAAACACTTCTCTTCAAGTTAAGCAGAAATGATTTCTTCTTCAATTAAGCACAGAGAAGATTTTTATTTCTTCCAGGCAAATTATCTTTAATCACCAGAAAGTTAATGACTGTTATTTTTTTAAACCACAAGAGAGTCTATTTCATGCTTAGCTCACATCTTCAAAGCCAGGAGAATTTGAACTAATGTTTGAATCTCCTTTATTTAAAAAATACTCATAAAATTATTTTGTTGAAGAATACTTTTAGATAGGTGATAAGTAAGTGGATTATTTCAATATGAGATTATGACCCTAAGAAGAGAAAAAACTGTGAAGTTCACCGTGACAACTGGGACAGATTACTTATTCACAAACAGAAAATAAATTAGGATCATTTAGGGTAGACGATATGAATTTCCACGTTGAGCTGTTGTAGACTGGTGCAGCAATTGTTCAAAGTTCCCATTTGATGAAGGGGTATAGTTCCCCCTGTTGAAGGGGTACAGCTCACTCTTCACTCAGGAGCTCAACTTTACATTCTAATTTGGAAATATGATTCTTGTTGCCTTAATTTTCATTTTCTTGAAGGTACAGCATCTCTATTTTAGTTATCTCTATTTTAGACATTAATCATTAAACATTAACTGTGTTTTAGTAAACTGCCTTAAAGAACCGTTATTTTAAAAAAGATTATTAACTGATCGATTAACATTTAAATGTATTAAAGAAGTACACTAAGCACATACATTTGTTTTTTTATTTTTTAAGATGGAGTTTTGCTCTTGTTGCCGAGGCAGGAAAGCAATGGTGTGATCTCGGCTTACTGCAACCTCCACCTTCTGTGTTCAAGTGATTCTCCTGCCTCAACCTCCTGAGTAGCTGGGATTATAGGCGTGTGCCACCATGTCCAGATAATTTTGTATTTTTAGTAGAGATGGGGTTTCTCCATGTTGGTCAGGCTGGTCTTGAACTCTCAAGCTCAGGTGATCCACTTGCCTTTGCCTCCCAAAGTGCTGGGATTATATGCATAAGCCACTGCCCCCAGCAATACATTTGTTTTTAAGAGCGCTTTTGGTACAGAGAAGAGATCTGACTTTGAAACTTAGATTTATTACCAAACACATAGTTTGTGGTTCCTGATTTATCCAGTGATATATTTGGATGACCCACTTGCCTCAGTAAATAGCTAATTAAAAACAATTGAAAATAGCGTTTACAAAGAATTGTGAAAGTCAGGTTTGTCAGTTTTCTCATCCTCAATTTATTTAAAGAAGTTTAATCAGTTTTCCTTTCGGATCATCAGTAATATAGTTTTCCTTCTCTTCATTTAACAGTTGTTTTCGTATCTCTGCTGCTTATCAAGACAACTTGTTTTTCACATATTCATCCTAAAATTATTGATTGAGGGTTGACAATGTTTAAATCTTTAATAAAGTGCTGGGTACACAAATGAGAAAGGTGTCACTCTGCTCCTTAAGGAGTTCCTAAAGCAGTCATTAATTAATTTATTCAAAAAAATTTTATTGCTAAGCACTGTTCTCAGCTTTCAGGATAGACTGATGAATAAAAGCCACAGAAATATAACTGCTTTGTGGACTCTGCTTTACAGTAATGGAGACAATTACAATAATCACGAAAATTAGAAAATTATAGGGTATGTTAGAAACTGCTAAGTGTTACTGAAAACAAATAGGAGTTCAGGAGTACCAGATGGGGAGTAGTAATGTTGACTATGTGATCATTCAGAAAATGAGATTTGTGCAAAGATTTAAAGGAATTGAAGAATTTGGCCAACTGAATATTGAATGGAAAAGCTTTACATGTGGAGGGAAGAGCAAATACAAATGTCTGGCATTTAAAAAAAAAAGAGTCAGAAAACCAGTGTGGTTACAGCTGAGTGAATAAAATAAAGAGTAAAAGGGGAAAGCGTCAAAGAGAAACTTGGACACACAAGAGAAAGGTTTCAGGTTTTACCAAACTTGAAATAGGGAACTGGTTTAGTCCATTTTGTGTTGTGGTAACAGAATACCTGAGTTTATAAATTAAAGAAGTTTATTTGGCTCATGATTCTGGAGGTTGGGAAGTCCAAGACTGGGCAGGCTATCTGGTGAGGGTCT